TTGGTCAGTCGGCGGGCGGTATATCGATAGGCATGCATATGATGGCTCCGCACACCAAGAATCTGTTCAAACGGGCGATCCTCCAGAGCGGGAGTCCAATGCTGTTGAGTCAGGTCTACACTCGCGGCCAGAAAACGGCCGAAGAGTTTGTGAGTAAAATCGGTTGTTTGCCGGAAGGGACAGACATATACGACGGCGTGGAGTTGATTGTCCGCTGCATCGATTCCACACCACTCAAGAAGATCTCGGACGCGCAGCAGGCAATGGTGGTCAACAATCCCGTCCCATTCCTGCCCACAATTCCCTCCGAATATATCGACACTTTTCCCACACAAGACAACGAGAATATAACTGTCGAACAAAAAGAGTTTTTGGTGGGATTTAATCGCGACGAGGGATCAGTTATCCTACACTTAGCCTATCCTAAGGAATATACGCGACAAACGGTTCCAGCGATGACCACATTAGAGGAGGCGCGCAACGCGATGGTGAAGATGGCAGTGGACGGCGGTTTCCCCGAATCGCAGGCCAAGAGTATGGCAACGGTTTTGCTGAACGGCAACGAAACCGATACGCCGGAGAACTGGGCCCGAAAGATAGGCGCCGTCTTCGGCGACATAATGTTCATCTGCCCGACGGCTACTTTTGCCGACAAAATGTCGGCCCAGAATCGGACGGTATATCTGTATGAGTTGACCCATCGGTCCCACAGCTCTGTTTGGGGCCAATGGATGGGAGTCACGCATCACGACGAACTCAATTACGTGTTTGGAGTCCCCCTCCGCTATCCCAATATGTTTGACGGCGAAGACATCAACTTCTCTAAGAGGCTAATGAAGACGTGGACTCATTTCGCCAGAACTGGGTATGAATTTCTCACCACAAAATATTTTGTGTTGTTTTCAAAAAATTCATAAAAAGTTTTCTTCTTGTGTTTTATAGACATTGTTTTCCTTATAATTGTTTTGTGAGAAACTTTTTATTTCGCTATTTATTTAAACCGAAAATGTTTTCATTCATTAATTGAAATAATTTATTCTTAAACGCGTCAACATTTTTTAATACAAAAAAATTGTTAAACAAAAACCTTCCCCACTTCTCAACTTTCTTCTCAACCTATTCTACAAACAAAAACCACAACTTTTTGGTTTCAATACACAATATGATAACACAATTAACTTTCTTTTATTAATAATTAGTGTTAATCTTTTGTTTTTGTCCATTAAATACTGCTTTACAGATCTGTATCGCCGATTGATTACCAGAACGACTGGCCTCCATATGACTCCACTAAACCCTATATGGATTTAAACACGAAAAATGCATACATTGGGCACCGCTATCACGAGGAGACCTGCAATCTATACAACGCTCTCATCGAGTATTTCAGTAGATAATAGAAATACTATTTAATTTAATTCAACGTTAAGATACATCGAAATAATATTCAGTTAATATTTAAATGAAATAATAGTTTGCTTTTCAATAATTTAGTCAAAAGATGAGGAAAAATATTGAAAAATAAAACTATTTTAAAACATTTAAAACACTTGAATACCTGATAAAAGTGACGGGTTTTTGTACCTTTCGTAACACAACCATTAGCTGATATAATGATGAGATTTGTTCATATTTTAAATATTATACCTATTATGATATAAACGTATGGATTATATATATAATTAAATATATAAGACATTT